GCTGCTGCTGCTGCTGCTGCTGCTGCTGCTGCTGCTGCTGCTGCTGCTGCTGCTGCTGCTGCTGCTGCTGCTGCTGCTGCTGCTTATCCTGAGGTTGCTGCTGCTGTTATTCGTCCTGCGGTTGCTGCTGCTGTTATTCGTCCTGCGGTTGCTGCTGCTGCTGTTATTCGTCCTGCGGTTGCTGCTGCTGTTATTCGTCCTGCGGTTGCTGCTGCTGCTGCAGTTGCCTGCTGCAGCGCGCAGTCGCTGCAGAAGACCCGCACTCTATCGTGCGGCTGCTGCTGCTGCTGCTGTTGTTGCTGCTGTTGTTGCTGCTGGTGTTGCTCCTGCTGCTGTTGCTCCTGCTGCTGCTGCTCCTGCCGTTACTGCAGCAGCTGCTGCCTTTGCTTCAGCCGTTGCAGCTACCTCACTCGCCCCCATCACCGCTGCTGCTGCTGCTGCTGCTGCTGCTGCTGCTGCGCGCTGCAGGTCGCGTTGGTAAACCCTAAGGGTTTAGGGTTTACAGCTGTGCCTTATCCAGCACATCCATATGAGCGTTATTTAGATGATGCTGAGGCTGTGTCTCGCACTCCTTTTCTTTTTTTGGGGTTGGGCTGCTGCTGCTTGCTGCTGGCTCCTGCTGCGCTGCTGCTGGACCTGCCCTCTGCAGCAGCAGCAGGCAGCTGCAGCGGCTGCAGCGGCTGCTGCAGCAGCAGCAGCAGCAGCCGCAGCAGAGGCAGCTCTGGACAGCCGCCAGCGGAGTTCGGCGGAGTCCTGGTCAGCTCTGAGGCCGCACTTCACGCCCAGCAGCAGCAGCAGCAGCAGCAGCAGCAGCAGCAGCAGCAGCAGCAGGGGTGCGACTTATGTGAGTCAGAGAAGCACCAAAGTGGCAGCAGCTCTTCAGGTGTCTTCAGCGTTTGGCTGGTGTATGTGCTGCTTGGGCTGTCTGTACACCTCACCACTGTTTTCTGGGAAGCAACAGCAGCAACTCTTGTGGGGCCCCACCTCACTTATGACCCCGAAGCAGCAGCACTTGCTGCAGCGCGGCAGCAGCAGCAGCAAGCGCCCGCCCACCGCCACCTGCAGCAGCAGCTGCAGCAGCACCTGCAGCACCACCTGCAGCAGCAGCAGCAGCAGCAGCAACTGGGCGCAGCAGCAGCTCTTATTGACCTTGGAATGACTGCTCTAGGCGGGGGTCTTGCTGCTGTTGCCAGCCTCATAGGCCGCGTTGGCTGGGGCCTGATATCTGACATTTGGGGAGGGGCTGCTGCAATAGTAAGCAAAGGGTTTAGGGTTTAGGGTTTAGGGTTTAGGGTTTAGGGAGTTTTTGAGCTCGTGGCTAGCTAGGGTTTGCGGGGCTGTCTGGCTTTGGTTTTTCTGCATTTGCACTTTGGCTCTGCTTGCTTTGGCCCTGACCATTTTCCCAGGTGTACGTACACCCCGTGGGTGCCACGTGTACGTACACCCCGTGTGTTCCAGGTGTACGTACACCCCGTGTGTCCCAGGTGTACGTACACCCCGTGTGTCCCAGGTGTACGTACACCCCATGTGCCCCAGCTGTACGTACACCCCGTGGGTTCCAGGTGTACGTACACCCCGCGCTGTGTGCATGCAGAAAGGACTTTCGTTTTGTCTGACGCTGCTGCTGGGCTGCTGCACCGCTGTGGTGTATGGACAGCTCTTTTCGACCTGTTTGTGGCTTTTGTTTTTCCACTTTTGCGTCGGAGGGCTTTTGGTGTCTCTTCCTTTGGTGGGTGCCTCTCTAACAAGAGTAATTAAAATAAAATTCAGCAAATAATAAATAAATAAATAAATAAATAAATAAATAAATAATGAGGAAGAACTTCAGTTAAAATAAAAATAAATAAATAATAAAAGGACAAATAAATAAGGCGGGGTCTTCCGCCACGAGCCGAGCCAATCTGTAAACAGAGGGGAAGTTAAAAAGAAAATAAAAGAAAAATAAAATATTCCGTTTGAAGATGTTTTATTGACAAGTGCTCGCCAGAAGTGAGAAAGAAGCAGCAATCCTAAACCCTAAACCCTAAACCCTAAACCCTAAGTCTGGAAACCCTAACTAAATCACAGCGCCAGAGAGTGCTGCAGCTGTGTGTATTCGTAAATGCCGTTTGAATGCAAAAAAGCATTTATTTGCACTTGAATGAATTAAAATAATTTAATGAATTGAAATAAAACAAATGCTGCTGCCTGAAGGCGGCGCGAGTGCATGCGGCTGCGGTGTACGTACACCTCGTCAGGTGGTGGCGGAGATATCGACGCCGTCGACGTTCAGCTGTCTGTACACCCTGGCGTACACCTCGAAGCCGGCGAGCGCGTGTCTGTCTTCATTTCTTTTAACTCTTCTTTACCCCAGCGTGGGCCTCAGTGGCTGCACAGCTTTGGCGGCCACTTTCGCCACTTTGTCTTTTCTTCTTTGCCTCGGACTCCCCTCCAAAACTAACCCCCAGCACAAACAGCAGGCCCTTTGGCTGCAGCAAAGCCCCCCAAAGGCCCGCTCCGTGTGACTAGCCCCGTTGCATGCATGCGTGCATGCGTGCATGCATGCATGCATGCATGCATGCATGCATGCATGCAGCGTTCTTTGCACATGTGCGACGCTCTTTGCATGCATGCAAGTCTGTATGCATGCAAAACTACTGGTGTATGCATGCAAAGCTATAGGCGCATGCATGCAAGGCTATGGGCGCATGCATGCAAAGCAGGCAAAGCTGTTTCTGCGCATGCATGCGGAACTGCTTGCATGCATGCATGGGGCGCTGCTTGCATGCATGCATGCGGAGCTGTTTGCATGCATGCGAGGCTAGCGCAGCTGCAGCTGCATGCACTATTGCTAAGTGTGGGCGGAGCCCAGCTGAGACTTCTTTGTTGCTTCTTGAACAAATGGAAAAGCCAAAAGAGTTGCTTGGCAAAGCGAAGTTGGAAAAAAGAAAGAAATGAATTTCATATTTGTGCAAAGCGAGACAAAAGGAGGCGCGAAGTTCAGTGAGGTTTCCCTTGCCTCTGCCCCGCTGAGGTGTACGTACACCCGAGAGGCCGCGGCGGCGCGCGGCGCGGCGGCGCGCACAGATGAACTAAAACAGAATTAAATAATTCGAACCATTTGGAATTGCAAAACACAATTAAATCATTTTAATCCTTTCAAAATGGCAAAAGTCCGCAAACTGTTTCCGATTCCCCGCCTACCTGCCTCCCGCGCCGCCGCGGGGTGTACGTACACCTGCGGCGCGCGCAGGTGTACGTACACCCCAAACCTGTCACCCGCAGGAGCCAACAAATGGAAGATTTGAACGGCGCGAAGCAGCAAAAGAAAAAAGTACTGCGGAGGGTTTAGGGTTTAGGGTTTAGGGTTTAGGGTTTGGGTCCCCGAGCCGCGCCGCGGCCGGCGAAAAGCGCGCAGCCGCCGCCAGCGCCCGCGGCCGCGGCGCAAACCCCAAACCCCAACCCCCAAACCCCAAACCCCAAACCCCAAACCCTAAACCCTAAACCCTAAACCCTAAACCCTAAACCCTAGCTAGTCGAGGATGTTGAGGGCCCCGGCGGGTTCTGGAAAGCGCCAGAGGTTGAGGGGTCTTTCTTTTCCGACGAGTTTGTTTTCTCTCGCGAAGATCTCCATGAAAAACCAAATTAAAATGTGTTCGTCAGGAGCGAGGATTGGAATTCCCTTTTCTGCACTGAGACGGAGTCTGCTGCGGTGGGCGTTCAGCAGCGGCAGCAGCAGCTGCGCCATTTGCTGCTGCTGCTGCAGCGTGGGGCTTTGCATGCAGTAGTGCAGCGTCATGTGGGCCTGCAGCGAGGGGTAGAGGCCCTTGACGAGTACAAGACAAGCTTCAGGAGTCAGTGGGGAGAGTTCTGCTTTTGCTGCTGCTGGCGGCGCTGCTGCTGCTGCTGCTGCTGCTGCTGCTGCTGCTGCTGCAGCGCGAAACCGCAAACCCCAGCGAAGCAGCAAGCGAAGGCGAAAGTGCTGCGTCCATCACTGCGCGCGCCACCACCTCCAGTGCTGCTGGCAGCTCTGCTGCTGTCACTGCAGCAGCAGCAAAAGAGGCGTCCAGCTCAGCAGCAAGTTGCTGCTGCTCTGCTGCAGTCAGCGGCCGCAGCCCCAGCCGCAGCCCCGCAGCAGCAGACACGAACGCCGACAGCAGCTGCACGCACGGCAGCACCGGCTGCAGCTGCAGCAGCTCCTCCTGCTGCTCCTGCTGCTGCTGCTGCTGCTGCTGCTGCTGCTGCTGCAGCTGGAGGCCGAGCATGCCTGGGGCTGTGGTGACGTTTCTTTTTTGGATTTTGTTGAGTTTTTGGAGTTTATTTAAAACTGCTTGTTTGAGAGAATGCACAGGAAGAGCCCCGTGAGGAAGTCTTTTGGAAATAACCAAGTCTGCAACAGAATCCTCTTCTTCCAAAATCTCACTAAGTCCTTCTGCAACAGCAGCAGCAAGTTCTTCGGGAGAGAGCGGGGCCAGCAGCAAATAGTCCACAGCCAGTCTGCGGTAGAGGCAGCCCAGGTGTTCTGCTGCCAGCAGGCACATGCGTTGGAACTCGCCCGCGGACACGCTGTGGGGCCCCACACCTGCTGCTGCTGCTGCTGCTGCTGCTGCTGCTGCAGCAGGCGCCTCCGACAGACACACCTGCGACATCCGCTCAAACTCCGGGTTCCCCTCGCTGCAGCTCAGCGACACGCGTTCGAACCACGCCAGGCTCCCGGAGTCTGCTGCTGCTGCTGCTGCTGCTGCTGCCGACGGCGCTGCTGCTGCTGCTGCTGCTGCTGCTGCTGCTGGCGACCCCGGCTGCGGCGGATGCGCCGCAGCGGCTCCTGCTGCTGCTCCCGATAGGGGGGCTGCTGCTTCCCACAGACGCGCTGCGTCTCCGCCCTCTGCTGCTGCTGCTGCTGCTGCTGGCGCAGGCGCCAAGGCAGCTGCAGCAGCAGCAGCAGCAGCAGCGGGAAACTCGACGGGGCCCCTCGGCTTCGGCGAAAGCGGACTAGCCGGGGAAAGACTCGCGTCGGCAAAAAGAAAAAGAAAAAGATTAAAATAAAATGAACTAAAAATTAAAAAAGAAGGAAACAAAGAAAGACAAGAAAAGCTGCGGCGCTGCATTGTGGGCGCAGACAGCGGAGGACCCGGCCCCTGCTCTCCCCTACCCTCAAGCCAAACGGAAAAGACATAAATAGCAAACTAGCAGCAACAAATTCATAAAAACGAAGAAAAGCAGCAGCAGATAATTCAATTCTTCTGCATGCACCACTTCGCGGGGCTTTCTAGGCTTCGCAGCCCCTACGCAGCAGCAGCAGCAGCAGCAGCAGCAGCGGCAGCGGCGGGCAGGAGCCTCGTGCTGCAGCCCCTTCCGCCCGCGTTTGAACTCCCCACTCGAAATAAAACTATTTTTAAAGTTTATTTTTATTATTTTTCCGATTTAGATCTCCAAAATGCCTCTTTTTTGGTCCATTTCGCTGCACAAAGCACCACGAAAAGTCGATCACGGGGTGTGCACGCTGCAGCGACGACTCGGTGCGCCGACGCTTCCCTTCCGGTGTTTTTCGACTTCTTCACTCTAATAAATCTCTTTTAATTAATTATAATTAACCTTTTGAATTATAATTGAGTTTTTTGGAGGTTTTTCACCGTAAATAGCCTTCAAAACTAGTTTAGTTTCCCAGAGAAGAAGCAGTTCATGCCAGCTTGCTGCTCCAGTGTCGTCCCGGGCTGCTGCTGCAGCCCCAAAGTCCATTTGAGAAATTAAACGCAATTTGCTGCTGCAGCAAACATGAATTGGCACACGCGAATTCAAAAAGTGCAGCAGCAGCAGCAGCTGCTGCTGCTGCTGCTGCTGCTGTTTGCCATGCTGCTGTTGCTCCCGTTGCTCCTGTTGCTGCTGTCTTCGTTGCTGCTGCTGCTGGTCTTGCTGCTGTCGTAGCAGCTTCCGTTTCTGCTGCTTTCTCTGCTGCTGCTTCACTCTCTGCTGCTGATACTTCCTCTGCTGCTGCTGCTGCTGCTGCTGCTGCTGCTGCTGCTGCTGCACCGAAGAAGCAGCAGAATTCGCCCCGAGGCTGTTTCTGCAGCAGTTGTTTGCTGCGACTGCAGCGCAGCAAAAGCTGCCAGCAGCTAATTGCACAAATGAAATACTTTTGCAAATATATTTTCTTTTTAATTTTCACTAATGTATTTTTATTATATCTTTTTAACTCACTTGAAAAGATTTATTAATAATATAAATGGTTTTAAACGCAAGCTGAAAACAAAAGATAGAAATTAATGAAAAGACACAAATTAAAAAAAAGACTTAAATTAAAGAAAAGATTTAAATTAAATGAAATATTTAAAATAAAGAAGATATTTGAATTAAAGGAAATATTTAAAATAAAGAAAATATTCAGATTAGAAAAAATATTTAAATCAAAGAAAAGATTAAAGTTGAAAAAGAAAATTTTTACTACCATAAGAGAATATTCAAATTTAAGAAAAGATTTAAACCAAAAAAGGCATTTGAATTTAAAAGATTTCAATTTTAAAAAAAATGGAATTGAAGAAAATATTTGAATTAAAAAAAAGATTTAAATTAAAGATTTAAATTTAAAAGAGTTATATTTAACTTATTAAAGAATACAGCCTGCATGCTCCCTGCTGTTTTTCTTAAACTTGTTTATTAAATTCTCAAAATTTTATAAATTCTTGTTTATTAATTTTCCAGATTTCAATTAATCCTTGTTCATTTAATTCTCAAGATTTAGTTAGTTGTTGTTTATTAGATTCCCCAAATTAGATTAATTTCATTATTATTATTTTTATTTTGAGATCTTTTGCCCTTAGAAGCGGCTAGCTGCGGTGGTTAGCCACAGCTAGCTACAGCTGGCAAAGGCTAGCCACAGCTAGCTGTAGCTAGCTGTAGCTAGCTGTAGCTAGCTGTAGCTAGCTGTAGCTAGCTGTAGCTAGCTGTAGCTAGATGCAGCTAGCTGTAGCTAGCTGTAGCTAGATGCAGCTAGCCGCAGCTAGCCACCGCAAGGCGCCGCTAGCTATAGCTAGCTACACCTAGCTACAACTGGCCACAGGCAATTCCACAGAGATATAGCGAGGTACAGCTAGCTACAGTGAGCCACGGAGAGCCACAGCTAGCTAGGGCTAACTATAGCTAGCTGCAGCTAGCTGCAGCTATAGCTAGCTGAAGCTAGCTGCAGCTATAGCTAGCTGCAGCTAGCTGCAGCTAGCTGCAGCTAGCTGTCTTGCAAGCCCACGGCAGAAGGAATATGCAAGACTTAAATTGATGCAACTGTAATGCAACTAAATCTGAGTTTGTCATAATTGCGTTTGTGCACAAACGCAAGAAATAAAACCCCAAGAAAAACCCTCCAGGCCCCTCTTAGTGCCCCTGGGGGGGCCCCTCTAGTACCTTCCGGGGGCCCCTGGGGGCCCCTGGGGGCCCCCGTGAGCCCCTGGGGGCCCCTAAGGGCAAAGCCCCAGTACCCTCTTTTGGACCCCTGCGGGGGCCACTGCGGGCCCCAAGAGGGGCCCCTCAAAAAGGGGCCAGAAAACCCTTTTAAGGTACCCATTGAAGGCCCCAAGGGCCCCCTAGGGGCCCCCCTTGGGGCCCCCTTTTGCGCCCTTCTAGGGGCCCCTGGGGGCCCCCGGGGGGCCCCTAAAAGGGCCCCCAGGCCCTGCTGCTGCAGATTGCCGAGGGTGGGGTTGGTGTTTATGAAATTAAAACTCAACTTCTCTTTGTGTGCAGCTGCCTAGCAGCTGCTGCTAATGTGAAGGTGTGGGGAGTTTTGGCCCCTGTCTAAATCTCTCCATTGCTGGCTAGCTGGCCAGCTAGCTAGCTGGCTAGCTGGCTAGCTAGCCAGCAGCTAGCCAGCTAGCTAGGCCTGTGTGGATGCGGGGCCGGCTAGCTGGCCAAACAACCGCTAGCTAGCCACGGAGCGAGCTACTAGCTGCTCCCAGAAGACTTGCCCGGCAGTGTCCGTTGCGCTACCAGCTAGCTAGCCAGCCAGCTAGCCAGCTAGCCAGCCAGCTAGCTAGCTAGCTAGCTAGCTAGCTTTGGGAGCCCACAGTGCGGGGCCCAAGTTCAATGTCCATCCATCCTTCTGTGGTGTCTGCTGCCACTTCTTGGGCGAGGGGAAAGCGCCCTGCGGCGCTAGGGGCCTCTGCTGCTGCTGCTGCTGCTGCTGCTGCTGCTGGCGCTGCTGCTGCTGCTGCTGCTGGAGCCACGGGGCCCCTGCCTCCCGCTGCTGCTGCGCTGCAGTCAGCCGTGACAGCAGCATAAATGTCTCTTTTGCAATTGGGACAGCTGAGCTGTCTAGACAGCCACTCGAGCAAGCAAGAACTGTGGAAGGTGTGCATACACCCCGGCACCCGCAGCACTTCTTCACCCCACAAAATTGCTTCTTGGCAAATTGTGCAGCCAAGGCCTTGCTGCTCCCGCACTTGCTGCAGCAGCAAACAAAACAAGTCCAACACAAGTCAACAGCTAGCTGCTTCCACCCTTACCAGCAGCGAGCAGCTAGCCACAGCTAGCTAGCAGCTAGCTACAGCTAGCCAGCAGCTAGCTACAGCTAGCTAGCAGCTAGCTAGCTGCTAGCTAGCTGCTGCTATGTGGTAGCTGTGGCTAGCTGTAGCTAGCTGTAGCTGGCTGTAGCGAGCTGTAGCTAGCTGTAGCTAGCTGTAGCTAGCTGTAGCTAGCTGTAGCTAGCTGCTGCTAGCTTCAGCTAGCTGCAGCAACAGAGGAAATGCATGCAGTAGTCAGCTACTACTTGGCGCTGCAGCGACAGCTAAAAGGAATTACAAAAAGAAAAAAGCTGAAGAAAAAGAAAAAGAATTAAAAAGACATCTGCTCTTGTGTGCAAAACTAGAACAAAGAAGTAATTTAACTGGCCCAAAATGGCATGCAAAAGAGCTGCTGCAAGCTGCGCATGCACTGCGGTGTACAGGCACCTTGGGGTGTACATACACCTGCGCATGCACTGCAGTGTACAGGCACCTTGGGGTGTACATACACCTGCGCATGCGCTGCGGTGTACAGGCACCTTGGGGTGTACATACACCCCGAAAAGCCCCGTCGCTCACCTCCACCATCAGTCTTTGTTTGACCAGTTGGATTTTTGCTTCGCTTTCTTCTTGCTGCCTTCTGCGCTGCTCCCTGAGAGCGCGGCTGTGCTGCGGGGGGGCCCCCAGGGTCCCGAGGGGCCCCAGGGGGGCCCCCAGGGGGGCCCCCGGCAGGGGGGCCCCCCGGGAGGCCCCCACGACGGACCTTCTGTAGGGAGAAGAGTGGGGGGCCCTCCTTAAAGGACTTGTGAGCTCAGCTTTGGTCCATTGGAGAATCATAATGAAGACAATGAGGCCGCAAATGGCCACGAGGAAGGCGCATGCAGCCAAGAGCCTGCGTTCGCGCTGCAGCTGCTGCTGCAGCTGCTGCTGCAGCAGCTCGCGCGGCAGCAGCGGGAACAGCCCCCGCAGCTCCAGCAAGTTGGCCGGCAAAGGAGACACGGGAAGATGCAAAAAGAATAAACTGAAGACCAGCAGCACATCTGCGGAGGCCCAGAGGGCACAGAGCAGCAGCAAGCAGCGCGGGAGGTTCGAGGGGTGCAGCAGCCCGCCGCCAGCAGCAGCAGCAGCAGCAGCAGGAGCAGCAGCAGCAGCAGCAGCAGGCACTGCCGACTCCAGCGCCGACAGCAAATATATGTACATTCCCACCGGGAACAAACACACCACCCCGCAAAACACTCCGCACACAAACCAGCTTGAACCGCCTGCAACGCATACAAACCCTAAACCCTAAACCCTAAACCCTAAACCCTAAACCCTAAACCCTTCATTAACTTTGGGAAGGACTGCTGCTACGAAGAAGCATTTCCTTGCAAGGCTGGCAGTCCACCCAAACCACAGCGCGTTGTAAACCCTTGAGAGACCAGAGTTAAGAATTAGGGTTTGGGGTTTAGCGCTTAGGGTTTAGGGTTTAGGGCCTGGAGCCTCTGATTGAAGGCGTTGGGTTAACTTTACTGTTAGAACTCTGTAAGCAGCAAGCGTTTAGCGTTTGCGGTCTAGGGTTTGTTGTTTAGGGTTTAGGGTTTAGGGTTTGCGACTCGAGGCTTGAGAGTCCGGCCGGCGGTTCTGCTCCAGGCTTTGACTGTTAAGGCCTAGGGTTTAGGGTTTAGGGTTTAGGGTTTAGGGTTTACGACTTGCGAGTAGCAGCATGAGTGCAAGAAGCGACTCAGACACTAGGGTTTCCGCTAGGGTTTAGGGTCCAGAGCCTCGGCCCGCAGGCCCACGCCGCAAGCCCCAAGGTTTAGGGTTTAGGGTTTAGGGTTTAGGGTTTAGGGTTTAGGGTTTAGGGTTTAGGGTTTGGGCTGACCGGCGGTGAAGAGGTAGGCGTTGCTGAGGATGAGCTCGAGGTGTACGTACGCGCAAATGGAAAGAATGAAAAACTGCTGGGGCCACAAAAGTAATAAAGCAGCAGCAAAAGGCAGCAGACACAAGTGCGAAGCCCACGGCCGCTGCACACACGCAAAACCCTAAACCCTAAACCCTAAACCCTAAACCCTAAACTCTAAACAAGAAATAAGAGATCCGATAAAAGAAAACCGAAACGAGAAACCTGAAAGCCGAAACCCTAGACCCTAAACTCGAAACCCTAAACCCTAAACCTTAAACCTTAAACCCTAAACCCTAAACCCAAAACCATAAACATGAAACAAGAAACTTGGAACCCTAAACCCTAAACCCTAAACCCTAAGCCCTGAACAAGAAATCCTCAACGCGAAACCCTAAACCCTAGCAACTCGCACAAAAGCCAGTTTCCGCATCTCCTTTAGCTGTATAC